TAACCTTATCCTCGACAGCTTTTCGTTCATCGACCCTCCGTCTTTTGTGATGCGAAGCTGCGTTTTTTTTTTCAAAATAATTTCTCCCAAGATCCTCGTGCATTTCATTCTGATCTGGATACGTTCGAATGAGGACCACGAAACGAATCCTTGCAATCTCATTAATCGATCAGTGTCTATTCGACATGTTGATATCCACGATAATCACATTAAAAACAGCAGCAACAAGCTCATCTCCCCCCGGTTCATAATCAGCTAATAAACCCAACGGTGAACGAGAAACCGATGATCAGAGGGTGAATTTTTTCGTTGCTCGAGGCCACGGCGAGCGCTTGGCATTGTCGATCGCAATCTCGAAAATGGCGCTCGTCCACCACCAGGGGCAGCCTTTATGCGACATTCATTCGCGCCACGTCCATAAAAACCGTGCGCCCAGGCTTTGAAGGGTCCCGATGACGGCGTTGCTCGCTAATCGGCGTGAAAGGGCCACGGCGTAGACACTGGCTTGTGGATTTATTAGCGCTCGACGAGGCACATGGATTCACCGACGTGGGAATGAAGAGAGAGGGTTGAGGGGATGGCCAGAAGAGCAGCCAGATTTATCATCGTGAGAGTGGTTCGACGCGACTGGCAAGCTTGTGGACGCTGGTTCCGTGCGTCGTTATAAATCGAGGTCTGGTCTAAGGGCGGCGTACGTGTCGCAGGAAACGGTCTACGGGATTCCAACCGGTTTCCCGCTGGTCCCTGCCACCGGGAATTGCTACCGGGGATCGATTTTATGGAGGACTATGATTTTTAGTGGCGTGAAAACAGTGTACGCGACGTTATCCCTACGGGGTCTAATATACAGTATGAAATTTATTACGTGTATATGTGTGTGTGTAAAGGAGATGAAGCTGGAGAGTATTTTACGTGGGTGTTGTTTTTAGAGCGATAATCAAACGTTTCTTATAAATACCCCGCCCGAACGTATATTGAGATTCACTCGTTACTCGAATCGAAACCGAAATCGAGGGTCGAATTCGAATTCCAGAGAACTTTCAAGTGTTCCGAGGACTATGGGAAGCCCTCGAAACACGCGACTCCTATCACGATCTCTAAAACGATATCGCGTTTCGTTCGATCCATTATCGCAGCGCCCTCATAGCCCGAAGGAAGGTCTAGTGATTCAGGGAGGGAGGCAGTTCTTGATTGAATTACGCACTGCTTTCGACAAGGAACAGAACACACACGTGCACACACGCCCACACCGGCTTCCGACTGCCTCGCGATTAGGGGATGCAAGAAGAGTCTGACGTTAGCCTTGGGATACGGAGCTAATAGCATTGGCAAAGTTGACACACGAGAACGCCCGGGACGATGTTAAATGCGTTACACCTCCGTGCCCGGAAGAATTAAGTCAGTAATTCATGAGAGGTCGTCCAACAGGCACCCTCGGCCTCGTTATCTCGACGTTAAGTAAACTTCATCGTACAGGGCCTGGGCCACGCTCGACAGCTTTCGTGATAACACCTTCGAGCTACGGGAGACGATGAAATATCTGAATCACACCCTCGACGAACCTACCGATTATCACGACTACCGAACAGTTTAGTTTGTTATTCGTCTATGTTTGTCTTCTGTGACCCAATGGCTTGTATTGGTAATAGCTGTTGGTCGTCTCTTTTCGTCTGAAAAGAATAACGAACCGATTACGCTACGTGTTGCTGCTGTTCGAGTCCACTTCGATACGCGTCCGTGACAAAAAGGAGGACCTTATGTTTTCAAACGAGAGCTTAAAGAATATCGAAGTTTGTTAACTACGCTGTAAACTGTGAGGGACGAAGCTGAGTATATCCCGGAACTTTGCGACGAAACCGACCACGGTTGGTAGTCATTCTTCCCTGAAATTCTCGTTATAAAGTTTGCCCCCTCCGAGGATATTCCAATGTTCTTCACTGGGTCACTTTTCTCGTTTCCTCTTGATCGTTCAAGTATAAACACGATTTTGTATCGATCGTTAAGAACGGTGGTACTCGTAATTAAAGTTAGGTCTTGGGAAATGCAAGGCTAAGCTTTCGAAATTTCGTCTCGAAGGTCGAAAAGTAGAAATATATTCTTTTATAAATTTAGAAGAAGTTAGAACACGTAATGACCAGAACGGTAGACAATGTATTTACCAAGCATTTAATCTTCGCCATAAGTTCGAACGTAAAGTATTGCTAGGTGGGATGGATAAACTTCGGCACTCGCAGGTCACACCGCATCAACAAACCGAAATGGCTCGCGGCTCGTAGAATGCTACGAGATCGTGTTTACAAAATAATCAGCGCGAGCACACAAGCAATATCAGCCTATGTTTGCAAACAGTTAAATGGATCTAGTTATGCTATTCCAGTTTGTCAAAAGGATCGGGCAACACAAACATGGTTATAACTTCGAAACAAGACGAGATCGTGCCCGTATTTATGCCATCTTCAAGCCCCAGGGGTTGTCTGTCGCGTGTTTTCAAACGAAATATACAAATCTTTCGGACTAATGCCTACCGCTATAAAAATGTCAGCAAACATCGTAGACACAGCACTACTGAGGTTCCAAAATCATAATTATAAAAAATGATAGAAAATATCTACAGTATCTAATAAACTCTTCCAATCTAAGGTGACAGTAGTAACAGACAGTTATGCACAGACAATCAAAAAATCGATAAACAAACGCCACAAGAGGGATTATTTTATTTCAAATAGTAACAAAATCTGTACAGTAAATCATCGATAAGTGTTCAGGAACACTCAGTGCCGATGAGCCTTCGAACACTTATCGATGATTTACCGTAATGTTTACCGAACTCGGGTCATTCTTTTCACGATCGTATCCATCGTCGTGTCATTGACCTCAAGATCAACACGATCTCACAGCCAAGTCCGAAACGTCCGTGACTCCGAAATAACTCCAGCGACTATACGGCTAATTGTCTTAATTGCATCGTGTTTTTGTCCGAATCGGTACGGTCGATGGGAGTGAGAGAACAGGCCTGTGTACGGTCACGGTTCCCAGACTCGAACCAGTTTTCCCACCGCGCTCGCCGTGTCATCGATCCCCCCTGCAATATCGACGCGCCAGACGAGACTTACGCCCATGTCCCGAGCAGTGTGGGCAGCGTTTGCGCGGGGCATGCGCATCTTCGTGTACTCGGTCTCGCTCGACGCCAGTCTGTCCGTGGTCGAAGTGACGGCAAGATCGGCTCTCCTGGTTCACCGTGTTTTCCGCGAAACCGTCCCCCGTTCTCCGTCTCTTCGTTTTTTTTTTTTCGTTCCGCCGATCCTCGGGATCTCCGTTGGGATCTAGATCCGCGTAATGCCGGCTCCACGTGACGGGGCGGGGGATCACCGGACGAGAATCGGTTGTGCAGTGCGTGACCAAGTGTGACCGGGTCCCAGTGTCCGCGTGTGTTCGGCGAGTTCGAAACGGAATCGCGTCCGGAGAGGCTGCATGCTTTCGCCGACTTTGGTCCGCCTGAACATAGCCTGGAATCGAGGGATTCGTCCAATGGAATAGGAAGATCGGTTACGGGAAAGTAGAATTTCTTATCCGAGGATCGGTAGAGCGGACTGCTCGCTAATTGGGAAACCAAGCACGTTCTCTGGACCGAGTGTACTTGGCAGAATCACGGTTCCAATGTGAACGCCACACGGGATAATCTCGTATCCAGGACAATGATCCGACGCGGTGGAATAGTGATCAGGTGTCTTTTGTCCGTGAGACTCGTGTGAAGGAGGTTGGTGTTTTTGGATCGTGATTCCGTTAACAGTTACTCTGGTTCGAGTATCACATACCGGTACAGGTGATTACAGATGGTACTATGTTCCTCGTGAGCAATTCCGCTCGTTCTTCGAGCAGCAAGTATGCGGTACATTTAACGAGCAAACGTTCCGCGTGAGGGACCGGAAAAGGGACGGATTCGCGAAACATTTGTCCGTCCAGAAAGACTCTCGTGAGGAGAAGCAGTAAAACGTCCCGTGGTGGATGCAATTCCACGGTATCCGGTAACCCTCGCTCCACCGGGCAGCTCGAGGAAGCAAGCTCGTAAGAATGAAGCAGCGGACCGTTAAACATCCGAGAGGCGGATTTCTCTTGTGCGTCATTAGGGCAGGCGCGTTTTATCTGTACCGGCACATCAAGCATGCCATTAGAAATGAGATCGTATTCCTGTGAACTCTCTTAATGTGCTCTGAGCGAAATCCAAAGGGCGGCTTCGGTCGCGTGTGTGAACGAAACTAACCATCGGGGCAACTTATAATGTTCGCCTACGATCGCGAAACGGCGAGACGCTGATCTCGAGATTACACCACGAAGACAGAAAGAGAGAACCGAGGAAATAGAAGGGATTCCCTGGTGACTAGATGAAAATCGGTGTCCCGTTTCCAGGATAGGGAGAAGACCGTTCTGGCTGGAGGCGCAGCGGAAACGAAGCTCGAGGATCCTTTGGAGGAGATCCGCTGCTCAAAGTTCGACACTATTTACCTTTCAGAACGCTGACTCGTGGATGCTTCGAGAACCGCGCGTGTTGACTTCCCCGTGGAGGACCCGTCAGCACGTTTCTCGAGGGAACGTGGATAGTCAAACAACGTTTGTGAACGGTGTACGGTTTAAAGAGGGCAACCACGACGATCTGTCAGAACCAGATAAGGAGAGCATATCTTTGATATAAGCTTTTTCAAGCGTGAAGTAACCGTAACGAACACTCCGAGCATGACTTGAACGCGCGGCTGGAATCTACGAACCGGTCGATGGAACGGTGTTTCGTTCGGGTGATCCACGGTGAGGAATCGTGCTGACACCGATCGTGGGGGGAATACTGATGCATCCTGAAAGCGAATCAAGACCTCGTGGCAACGAGGTCAGCACGATCGCGAACCGTAGAGCCTCTGGGGGTGGATAGGGCTCAAGGAATGAAAGGGTTCAGACGGCTCGACTGAAGACGAAGCGTGGGGGACGGGGTTTGAAGGGCGCGAACGAAGATGACGTCGCCGATCCTGGCGCTGTTCGGTCTTGTCCTGGCGACCGCCAGCGCCGAGCTCAGCTCAAGGATCGTCAAGACGAAGTACGGGGAACTGTCGGGCGTTATCGTGACCCTCGAACGGCATTTCGATCGGCAGTTCGATCGTCAGCCCGATCGACAGCTCGATCGTCAGCTCGAAGGCGTCGAGGTGTTCCGTGGTGTTCCGTACGCGTCGCCGCCGATCGGCTCCCTGCGATTCATGCCGCCTGTCAGCGGGGCCCTATGGCACGGCGTCAAAGTCGCGGACAAATTCGGACCTGTGTGCCCGCAAAGGCTACCGGAGTTAAGCGACAAGATGCCGAAAGGCCGGGTCCAGTATCTGAGACGGTTGCTGCCCTATCTGCGGAACCAAAGCGAGGACTGTCTCTACCTGAACATCTACGCGCCAGTTCAAGGTAGGACATCGACATTTTTCTTTGGTATCTGTGCATTTATCGATGATATATTCTTCCGATGATACGTGTCACGTGTTTGTCATTCGTGACAGCAGAGGATATATTATACACACGCTATCGAACACTTTTCGTGTCGAAAAGACTCGGATTTTTCAGAATTTCTATATCATAGCAGATTCCTGGCTGGATTGTCGGGAATTGTATTCGTGGGAACGTATTCCAATCCCGCACAAAACGTTATTTCGAAATAACGAGGGTCCGATGTGGTATGATATTAGGAAATCGAGGATTCGGTGTAGGAAAATCGTGAAAACGCGAAACTCGCACAGATCCTGACGGCGAACGTCCGGTGTACCGTGAATTATGATAAATCACGCACAGGTCGTTATCGCTGGAACGTGAGAAATATCGCGTAGACGAAATTTCGGTTCAAACTAGACCACGTTGAACATTTTCTGCTTATTTCGATTTATCGATACCCCTGGGCATGGTTTGAGTCGTCAGTCACCCATCGTTCACTTTTTTACTTCCTTTGGTACTCTGTTGAAATGACTGTCGCGCCTCTGTATAGACACGTGTATTACAAATTAACAGTCGGAACGCGAAAACTGCGCGAGAAGGGAAAAAATCCGCATAGAGCTGACCTCCGGCAAACTGCCGGATAGCGGGAAAAAAAGGAAGTGGCGGAAACAGGAAGAGGGCAAAAGAGAGCACGCGTTTTCAGCCCACGTAACGATGCCCTCGACCGAACGAATCCATTCTCGATCAATAACAAAACAAAAAAAAAAGAAAATATTTCACGACCGAGGCTCGTTTATTCGGATTACAATAAAGTTGGAAAATGTCTGCTGCCGCTGTTTCTTTGTCAGCTTTTCGGATGGATCCGAGGTCCGTTTGTCGATTCCAGGATAGAAAACTCAGGAATCCCCACCCCCGTGATCCCGTGAGTTCTACACGATGTGCCTCCTCCGGGCAAGGAATCTCTTTATACATCGCAACTGTATTCGCCTTTATTCCCCGCGAAACACGCGCGTAATTCCACAAAGAATTCGTTGCATGATCTTTCTCTGGGCGTAGCGCGTTGGTCCAGCGAACGAATGTCGATCCAAGTGCACGCTTCTGGTAAAAATTCGATGAAATACCGCCAGTGCCTTTACCTCGCTATATTCGATATTCTTTGTGGAAATTCTCTGGATCCAGGAAAAATGTACTTAATCCTTGTATGAACTACGGATTAAAATAGTATATAGTAGAACACAAGTTAAATAAACCCATTTACCAGTTTGTAGCTAACTTGTCGAGCTGTGTACATCTCCGCAGTATTCTCAAACAAGCTAATTTCAATCATACGGGGGTGGGGATTCGAAAGAATAGGCTGAAAGCTCGCAAACGACTCGTCGTTCCTCTCCTCCGCCCCCTCGGTTCATCTTCCCGCGTTTCCTTTCGCCTACTTTTCTCGTTTTCTTTCGAACCGCGCGCGGCTCTTTGTGCCAGATAGGTGCGCCGGGGGTCCTTTCAAACGACAGAAATGTAAGCCAATTCTTCAACAGCTTTTCATCGATGCTCCGCCGCTGTCAAAGAAATCCTCGCCGCGTTTCCACGCGCCTAGATGGTAACATGGATTAATTTCGATATAAAGAAGAAAGAGAACCGGGGAAAGTAACGGGTGGATTTCTTTGGTGTTACGCGCGTATTGGAGATCAGCTACCGAACGAATATGTCAGCGCGGTCGTCGCGACGGATATAAACGCGATCTCTTTGTATACGTGGTATCGTGGATCTGTAGCGTCTAGTATAGATTCCGTAGCCTGTACACACCGTCGTGACTCGAAGACTCTCAGCGATCGGTGAGAAAAAAAAATCACCCACCTGATAAATCCAACATAGAAAATTTCGGTCTATTTCAGGTCGAATACGAATTCGACGCGTTCCACGATGAAATCCGGTATTTGTAATCCGAGCACCATTGTCCCTAGAAAAAAAGCTCTTTACGGGAACTCCCCTCAACGGTGACCGTACGTTCCGTGGATTCTCCACGGACACGCAGCGTCCCGTGCTCCCTAGTATTTCGGAATAATAACCCAGCACCGACCCATTGTCCCCCGGGCGCAAACAAAGAATCCATGAAAACGACCATTAATTTGCCGATTTGAATGGAAAGTGTTATTTTATAGCCGGGCGTTAGCATCCCATAAATCGCCTTACGCCCGTGGAATTCACCTCATCACCCTTTTACCCAGTCTGGTATGATGCATATATGTATATATACATATATGTCCGTGCTTGGGGGATGGGTGTGGGATCGGGATATACGCTCCATCAGCGCATTCGCGTGAAGGGCCTTCGCGTGAACTACCAAGTCGACTTCCGGAGTACAGCGTCCAGTCGTCCCCTTTGGTACGGGCGAGACATTTCTATCAGTAGGTTGTTCATCCAACAACCTTGTAGTGACAAGAAAGTCGTTCCAGATATGTAATATGAAAATAACTTCGACCTTTCCTATCGTTCATGAATCGCCGTTCAAGCATCACCAAGCTGTCCCAAAAGAAAACAAAAAACAATGCAGGCGTGTTCGTGTGGTCGCCGAGGCCACGAGGCATTTATGTGTATGTCTGTGTGCGCAAACTCTGGCAGACGGTTGCCAGGTCCTATCGAGGCTGCGTCTTACCAAGAGAGAGAGAGAGAGTCCCGTCGGTTTCAATTCCGTTCCATCCACTTATTTGTACCGTTTCGCGATACTTACACGTAATCCACGGAGCGCGTTACGTGTTTGCAGATCGCTTCAGCAGCCGGCCGAAAATCCATCCGTACGTACGCCGTGGCGTAACACGTTCCGGGCATTTGTTTCAAAGGATACGCCGTTCGGTTCCTATCTACGGCGGACGTTCCTCCGCGGTTTCGCTTATCGCTTACCGAGTCGAGAGTGAAAAACGACGGGAACCTCAGCACCGTGGAAGAAGCTTCCTGTGCCGGCTGGATCTCGGCGGACGTATCTCTGTAACAGCCTGACGGCTCAACTTTCGTTGGCCTGCGCGGCCAACGGAAATTTCGTGAATCGGTTCATCCTCGCGGATTTTCAGATTGTTTCGTTACGTCGACGTGACAGGCATAAAGTCCTGTGAATTTTCTGACAAAAATTTAATCTTCCAACGAAGTATTTTAATCCCTTGATTTTCGGTTAAACACTCGGAGCTTTTGAATATAGATGTCTGATCATGACAATCCGTTTCTACTGCGCCCGTTAATCGTATCAAGATAATATGTACAAGTAAATTCCGCTTGAATATTCCTAATAGCGTGTGAATACTTCGTGTTCTCGTCTACCCGTGGAATGCGTAAGACGGCGTGTCTGACCTCCGCATTCCGTTTCCACTGACCCGGCACGAACCGGCTGAAAAATGGAACATATGTGCCGAGTTTTGCTCCAGTTGAAAATGCACGAGCAAGGCAAAGAAGCTGCTTGCCCCGCGGTCTATTTCCAAGCGAAGAATCCAGACTCGTCCGCGTTTCAGGCGACGCAACGGTGCCAAATGCGCAGCGCGCGGTTAATGCGCAAACAGAATTAATTAGCAGCAGAGGCTAGGGATGTAACGGAGTTAACCGCAAGGTATCGTGGAGGTTTTTCTTCGGAGCGTCGACTTTAATACGAGCCCCCTTTAATCCATCCACGGTCGAGGCAACACACGGGCGAACCGTGGGCGCTGCTGGGATTGCGTATTCACGTAATTTCTTGATCGCAGAAGAGGGAAGGGGGCGGTTGGGAGTGAAAAAGAAATTGTATTTAAATGGACCATGGAAATCTGCGGGGCTGCCGGTGGGGTTTCAGCGTTACGTGCAGCCAAGGGAATCTTGTTATGCTAATTCCCGGCAACATTTTGCGTTCAACCGCGGCTCGGTGGATACACCTGCGAAGGATTCTCCGTGCCGAGATCGATCGATCCTCCAGTACACGTGCTGCCGTTTCCGTAACGGGAAGCACAAGGGGCAGAGGGTCAGTTTCCCTCGTACGGAAAATTTTAAACGAACCATGCAGCCCTCACCCCGCGATCCACATTAATATTTCATTTAATTTCATAATGCGTATTCTTTCAGTCCACGTTCTCACCCGGTTTAATTTGAAATTCTGTCCGTTTCCCCTTTCGCAAGAAAGCATGAATAGACCCAAACCCCCTCCAATCTCCGAACTCGACGGTTTCACAATCGTTGGACGAAATCACGGAAGGCTGTCTACTATTCATTTGCGGCCCCGATTTACAGGGCACAATCATCAGGGCGCATGACGGCTGATGAGTGACGAGATTAAGGCGCGGCCAATACCCCCCCCCCCCCCTCATACCACGTACGTGTGCTGCTTTGAAGGTGCGCGAAACCGACGCTGCCATTTAGCGGCGCACTAATTCAGCGTTCATTTATCTACCGCGGCGGTGAAAGAGACAGGACTCTCCCTTCCATTTCCGTCGACCCGTCGGAGCTTTACGCCTTTCGACGGTTCTGTGCGCGGGTTACGGCGTTACACGGAATTTTACGAAAAAAAAAAACAAGAAAGGGGAAAGAAGAGAAAATAACCTGCCGCACTCTCGACCCTCGGTGAAATTGAAGGAAATTCGGATCAAGTGGGCGAGCATTTAGCCGTCCACGGTGGGAATTTAGAAAGACTGTACATAGAAATATTCCAACGGCTCGCTGGTGGAAGCTCTACTTCCGAATTCGATTCGCAAACCAGGGATTCTGGCTTCGTGAACAATGTTTCGCAAGGTTCCGATGTTTTCTCGTGAGTTCCGAACAAAAGTAAAACAAACGAAATACAATAATATTGGCAAAAATATAACAATTATTTGAAACTAGTTAATAATTTATGTCGGAGGATGCATCAAAACTATTGGCCATCGTATGTACATATGTAATCGGTTTAATGGTTTAAACTAACCGTAGTTGGTTTCCTGATACAAAGTGCCCAGATTACAAGGAAAATTCTAATTGTGGCCGGACCAGCGTAATACAATATTCCTAATGTTTTAATTTCCGTAAATTGAAACCTCGATAAAAAAGATTCCACCGTGGT